TTCACCAACGCCTGAGTCTTCGCTAACAGCTATCACAGTCATGGTGATGGCCTCGCAATGGCTCTTCACTTGGATCTCCGTTACCGGCGCACTATCCATTGCGCCGATGTTCCCTCTTCTGGGCGCCCAGTTCCATCTTAACAACAATCAGTTGGCTATGCTGACTGGCATCACCGTTATCACACTTGGTTTCGCCAACTTCATCATCGTGCCGCTCTCCAACATTTTCGGTCGACGCGCTATCAGCTTGACCTTTTCCGTGTTCATTCTTTTGTCATGCGTATGGCAGGCGATGGCGACCAGTCATAGCAGTTTGCTGGCGGCGCGTGCGGTCAACGGTCTGGCCTGTGCGACGAGCGAGAGTATCCCTGTGCAGATGATTGCCGATGTCTTCTACCAGCACGAGAGGGGTCTCTGGACGGGTGTATACTTGTAAGTGATGCTTCTTCGCGCGGTCGAACTTCTTCTGACGTATTCCGCAGCACCGGCTACTTCATGGGAGCTTTCTTGGGTCCGATCATGGCTGGTTCCATGGCAGCTCACTATGGCTGGCAGTCCTTTTTCTGGCTAGAAACCGCATTGTCTGGTGTTTCGGTTATCCTGATCGCACTCACCTTCCCTGAGACCAAGTACCATCGTGGCAACACAACGGTCATCCAAACCACCAGCAGCAATGTTAGCAACGAGGACCAGACCAAGCTCGAGAAACAAGCAACGGAGGCCGGTATTCAAGACTCGGAGCGGAGCTCACTCGAGCAGCCCATCACTGTGCAGGGACGCCCATCCCGTGCGCAGTTCATGCCGTTCATGAAGCCAGATGCGAGGTGGAAGATGTTTGTCGTACGTGACACCTGGACGCCCATCAAGGTCTTCTTCAACCCGATCATCTTGTGGGCAGGTTTGATGCTTGCTGGCCCAGCCGACATCCTGCTCTTCTTCAATCTCACCGAGTCGCCTGTCCTCGCTGCACCTCCGTACCTGTTCAAGCCAGACCAAGTTGGATATACAAATTTCGCGTTCGCGATTGGCGCCTTGTTCGGGCTAGCAACAGCAGGCCCATACTCCGACTGGGTATCTGCCCGCGCAGCGCGTAAAAATGGTGGCGTGCGCGAAGCGGAGATGCGCCTTCCGGCGTTGTTCATCTACGTGGTAATCATGATGCTCTCGATCATCCTCGGCGGTGTTGCATACCAGCAGCAGTGGGCGTGGGGTCATATCGTGGTTTGGGGCTACGGGCTAGCTGGCCTCAGCGTCACCACAGTACCCACTATTGCCATCGCCTACGCGATCGACTGCTACAAGCCCATCTCCGGAGAGATCATGGTGGTCGCTACAGTCTGCAAGAACTTCATCGGTTTCTCGTACAGTTACTGGGTTTTCGACCTTGCGCACGTGAGCAAGAATGGGTGGATTACCCCCGCTATGGTCATTTTCGCTTGCGCAATGGGGCCTGCGCTGTTTGTGTTCCCGTTGTACTTTGGGTTGGGCAAGAGGATTAGGCGATGGACGAAGGACAGTGATGTTCATCGCATGGAAGAAGTGATCTAGATGGTCAGTGGCAGCGCGTTGACGCGTTGATGCGTGGGGAGAAGCTGCGTTTGCAAGGCTTTTGGAAGGCGTGGTCGTGTGCCATGGCTGTCATAATAGGTCACAATATACCCATTTCTTTTGTTAATTCTGTATTCCTTTCCCTTTGCGGTCTGTTGTGCAATGAGATGTCGATGATGGAGATGAGGTGGCGCCGAAGAGGACGCGTTCAAGAGGGCACCGCCAAAAGTGGGTCTCGACTTCGCGCTAACCGTTGACGTCATCCCAAGTTTTCCACCAGCGGGCAACGCCAATAGCGTATGATTCATCTATCAATCCGCATTCATACATCAATTAATATCACTCGCAATTCAACATGTCCATTTCCACCCTCCAAGACAAAGTCGCAATAGTGACCGGCTGCAGCTCCGGTATCGGCCTAGCAACAACGCGTCTGTTCCTCGAGCGAGGCGCCTCGGTTTTCGGCATAGACATTGGCGCACAGCCGCAGAAGCTCGCGGAAGACTATTCGACATTCACATTCTACCAGACTGATCTCACCGAGTCTCAAGCTGCGGAACATGCAGTGGCGAAGTGCGTCGGCAAGCACAACCGCATTGATGTTCTGGTCAACTGCGCGGGCGTGAGCGATGGCTGGAGTAGTGCGGACACGATTCACGAGGAAGAGTGGGAGAGGGTAATGTCGATCAACCTGACAGTACCTATTCGCATGATGAAGGCGGTTCTGCCGGCGATGAAGGAGCAGAAGGGTGGTGCGATTGTCAACGTGGGTAGCAAAGCGGGGACTTCAGGCGCGAGTGCGGGAATCGCGTATACTGCTAGCAAACACGGTCTGGTAAGAAACGCTCCTTCTCAAGTGATGATCTACCAATGCTGACGATTGATAGGTCGGTGCGACGAAGAATGTGGCTTGGCGCTTCCACAAGGAAGGCATCCGGTGCAATGGTGTGCTGCCCGGCGGTGTTGCAACTAACATCGCCTCGTCGGTACAGATGGAGCATTTTGATTCTGCTGGCTTCAACGCGTTCTTGTAAGTTCTGATGGGCGTCACCTGCACGTTCCGGCCTTTGCTTACTTATACAGTCCCATCGTGCAAATGCACGTTTCGAAAGACAGTGAGGGTACACCGGTTCCCTATATTGGAGTAGACAATGTTGCGCGTGGCATTGCTTTCCTCGCTTCAGAAGAGTCGACAATGATCAACGGCGCAATGATACCGATCGATAATGCCTGGTCTACCATATAGCATAGCATCGCTTCGGTAAAGAAATAGCAATATCACGGGGACATACATTACTTCGATGACGACTCGTGTACCCATGGCCACGGGCTGTCTATCGTGAAAAAGACGTATTCAGATTCGTTTCTTACAGTGGTAGACATAGATAAGCCTGTTGCTCAGGTTGCCTTCGGTACATCGCTGCCCCAAGGGTAAGCCTCGGGCATAGCCTTCCACGTCTTCAAATCGTCATAATTCCGCGTCGTACTCTTATTCTGCAGTACCTTTTGCACAAAAGGCAAAATGTCCGCGTACCCACTCATGTCGCAGTGTCCACCAGACGGTATACTCATACCCAGCTTCTCGCCCACGCCTAGCCAATTGTACACGACCTTGGCCGCAGGGAAGGTGACCTGAGCGGTCCCTTTGGAGTCCGTGAACTGATCGTTCACGTTCTGAGAGAGGATGACTGCGCGTGGGGCGATGGCTGCAACGATCGTGTGGGCGTCATAAGGGAGCTGGGAGGATTTGCCGACGAATTGCGAGATACCTGAGGAAGTCCACCACCCTGCTCCAGATTTCTAGGTAGTCGTCAGTGCGCATATTTCAAAAGATCTTGGAGTCTTGATGAGACCTAGTGCTTACAGCGTTTTCTAGGTTCTCTCCTTGCCCACTCAGGCTGTATCGGTAGGGCCCCGCACCCTGAACGCCAGAACACATGGGCATAGTGACGGCGATACGCTTGTCGAATAGCCCAGCAGCCAGAGCAGCTTTGCCCAGACGAGAGCATCCAGTGACGCCAGATTTGGTTGCTTCGATCTCTGGAACCTTGAGTTCAATGCCGTCAAGAACGCGATGAAAGCCCCATGCCCATGCAGTGAGTACTCCTGTTGGCTGTAAGTATGCATGAAGCAAACGGCAAGGTCTACTTACCAATGTCTTTACCACTATACAGCGTCCAGAACGAGCCAGTCTTACTGTTGCTGTCTGCGGCAACTTTGGTATAATCGAATGTGACTACCGCGATCCCCGCGTTTATATAGCTCTTAGTGTCCATCCCGCCGATCGAGATGACCACTGGGAACGGTCCGCCTCCACTCGGCAAGTTCAAAGAAGCTGCAATGCTAGCGGTCTTCCCTCCTGCTGTGACAGTGACAGTCAGGGTGTTGCCACTTCGAGTTGCGGAGACAGTTTCTTGCGAGTGATCAGGATAATACCCGTATTGGTATTCCTGGAGGAGCTTGAGAATCTCGGGTTGACGGCATTGGTTCCATTCGTCTTTGCTTTGAACACGTGTCTTGCCATCGAGGTACAGAAATGGGTCTGGCATCGTCTTTACGGAGGGGAATGCCGCCGCTTTAGGCATGGGGATCGGCGTTGCTGGACATGTCACATTGATCTGGCGAGGAAGCATTTCCCCAAGGCGCTCGGGGCTGTGTCCCAGCGGTGTGCCACCACTGGTGACAACCAAGGTAAAGATCGCAAATGAAGTGGTGCGCATCGTATTGGCTGGTATCGAGACGATGAGATAGAATGATAAAAGTTGTCTACTGACAAGAAGGTGAAGCTACCAAAGGAAGATGGAACTGTTATGTATCCTCCCGGACGAAAGGCTACATGTTGAACTGGTGTAAGTCAGTATCATGTGGTCAACCTACTGCCCGTAAGTAATATACAAAGCCAAGTCCTATATCTGTTTTCTATTATCTTTGCGCATGGTGTAAAAGGTTAGACAGCGTGATGCTATGAAGCTCCTTGTGGGGCTGTCATATAGCCATATCGACGGATAAAGGATCGATCCATACATTGCAGCAGCGGGCGAGGCCATGCACGTGAGATTACGCAGGATTCGCGCTTTCGGTAGTATTCATCCCGAGGCGATGGTGATGAACGTGCTCGTTAAGGTGACTACCAGCGTTGAAGTGGTCGCCATGGCCAGGTGCCAATCCTATCCTGGCACGTGACAGCGCGACAACGCGCGCGCTTTTTGAGACGCTGACACAGACTGAGCTGCAGGGTAGTACCGTCATTTAATAGGGTTCCATGTATCTGACCTCTTTGATGGCCATCAGAATCGATTTGGAGTAAGTGAGTTGTGAGGTTGCATCGGCGATCATGATAAGCCGCCCGCGGGCGAGGTCCAAGCTCCCCTCAGTGCGGGGAGCGACATGTCGCACATCTAGGCATCCTCATGTCAAACTCTATCATGTAGTTCTCCCAGCTCAACGCCGAAATGGTGCCGCTGTCTTCCTTCCTGCTAGTTGCGTTGGCTAGTGCCAAATGCTTCGAACCTACCATCGCGCATCCGCCGCCTCGGTACAATGCTGGCGATCCTCTGCTCCAAGACGCGTTCGAGTCTATTGACACGGCACTCATAGCAGCCGTCGCAGCGCCGGAGTTCGACCGAACCTCCTTCTCTGTAGAGATAACCTCGTCGAAAGATACGTTATGGTCACATCATCATACGGCGCGCGAACGTAATGCCTCGCGCCCAGATATCCCCGAAGTCAACGGCGACGCGCTATACCGCATCGCTAGTATCACCAAGACCTTCACCGTACTCGGTATACTGTATCAGCATGCAGCAGGCAACTTGAGCTTGGATGCTACAGTGAATACATACCTCAAGGAATTAGGAGACAAGTCGAACGGCGGCATTCCATGGAAAGACATTACATTGCGCAGTCTGGCTAGCCAGCTGAGCGGCCTTCCCCGCGAATGTAAGATGTCTTCTGGAAAGAAGCAGAATCTGTTCGCAGTATGCCACACAGACGAAGGTACGCGTGCTAATTTCCTTAACAGGGGCTCAAGGTGATCTGATCAATGACAACTTCCCTGAGTTGGACTCAAGCTCACTGGGTCTGCCTCCTGATGTGTCACGGGAAGGGTTGCCAAGCTGTGACGAGTACTCACCAAATTACGAGACACCCTGCACAGCGAAAGGTTCGCATTTCACTAATTGATCGTGAGAGAAGAGTGTTAATCTGATTGTGCTTAGATATGTTTCGACAGCTCAAGAAGTTCGCACCGCTATTCGCGCCAAACCAAGAATCGTCTTACTCCAATGTCGCTTTCGAACTCCTTGGTCTCGTCCTCTCGCGCGTGGCAAACCAGACCTACGAGACCTATATCGACGAAGCCATCTTCAAGCCCTTGAACATGTCTACCAGCACTCTCTCTAAGCCTGCCGATTCTGCTGGCGTCATTCCGGCTGGTCCACAATTCTGGGGTGTGGACGAAGGCATCCAAAATCCTACCGGTGGCATCTACAGTTCGTCGAACGACCTGTCGAAGTACCTCCGCTATATCCTCACCCATTACAATGCCATTACCCACGCAGTAAACTGGCTGCATCCCGTCTCTTCGTCCCGCGGATTGAACTCATTTTATGGCATGCCGTGGGAGATTTACCAAACAGACCGCATACTTGAGCAGTCGAAACGTACTGTACGCTTTGTCACTAAGAGTGGAGGGTTGCCGGGCTACACCTCCATCATCATAACAGTGCCGGAATACGACTTGGGTATCACTATTCTAGTTGCGGGCCCCAACGCAATCCTATCCAAGATCATGGACATTGTTACAGTAAAGATAGTGCATGCAGCCGAAAAGCTTGCCATACAGCAAATGCGTAACCGCTATGCGGGCACCTACAGCGCTTCAGATCCAGAAGTGAACTCTACGGCCACACTGAGAGCTGATTACCGCGGTCTTGTTGTTACAACCTTTGTTTCCAACGGGACGGTTGTCTTCGAAGCACCGATCACGAAAGACGCGACGTCTCCGCCCCGTTATGCGCAGCTTAGCCCAACGCTTCTCTATCGCAACGAGGAAGAACAGGATGGTGAAGAGTGGCGTGCATTGATCGTCGAGGAGCGCGCAGAAGGGCTGGGCTCTATTTGGGACGACTTCTGCGTGGAGGACTGGGAAATGTCCAGTTACGCCGGCATACCTTTGAACACAGCGGTGTTCTGGGATGAGCAAAAAGACGGTCATTTCGAAACACTAGAGCTACCGGCTTTCCGCGTGAATCTCACAAGAGTGGATCAGAAGAGGGGGTCGAATGGGAAGTATGGTCAACAAGAAACGATGGAGCTCTAAGGCCCCACATTGCAGACCGGCAGGGCGGCTTGCGGTCATCCTCTCCACCACGTGAATCATGGCCGAACGACGAATCTATAAGTCGCTGCAGCTAGTACAGATCACTTGAGCATATACCACATTCCCCTAGAATCGCTGCAGAACGAAGAATTCGCCAAAACTCGCCAATCTTTCTGACCACGGCGCTTGCATCTGCCGTGTCCAAAGAACATTCGGTTTTATCACAGCGACCATGGGTGACTGACTAGCCTAGTGTTTCCGAGCTTTATTAAAGACCGTGCTAGACTAGATCTACATGCGGAGCTAAACTCTAAAACTCACATGCAGGGCCGAACCACGTTTTCGCAAAGACGATTGCCATTACTTGGGAGCAGTGGAATACCGTTCTTCACCGGGTTCATGTACCTCCGATGATCGACGCTGCTGGTGTTGGAACTGTTCGAGGGCTTTTCCGCTAGCGAAGCCTTATAACTATATACACTAGGCAAGCCTTGTGGCAATTGGCAGAACGCCAGAATGATTGCCACGTCAAACGCCGATCAGGTTCGCATCATGTTCACCTCCTCGTGATGCCTAACAGGCCGACATTCAGTACTGTGAGAACATGGGTGCTCATACAGCTACCGACCCCGACAATCTCGCTTGAGCGCGTCATACATATCTTGGCACAATGTTCCTCACTCACAGACGTCATACCTCATACACAAAGTATGTGAGTTTTCGACACGTTCAACGTGTGAAGCCAGCAAAGGTAAAAGCCGGACATCGGAGGGTTTGTCGCTCGTTGGGCTCAAGATCCACGTGGAATTCGCCGTAACAGCGGCACAGCAGCAAACTAAAGTCAGGGCACCGTCTAGCTCATAGACTGCCGATTGCGGCCGAGCACGTTTTGTGTGGCGCGCCTTGTGGAAGACAAACCGTGACGAGGATGGCAGCTGCACTACGTGGTGCTTGTAACATACTAACGGTGCTTTGATGTTCGGGAGGCTAGGATTTTGACGTCCATTGCCGCCTCTAGGACACCTGTACGTGCCGTGTATAAGCCCCTGTTCTTATCCTGGTTCATATGGCTTTTTGTTTTACCCTGTTTGATCCGCAATCCGTCGCTTAACATAATTCTCCTTCCTCTTTTGTTTTCTCGCGCAGGGCATCTCGTACGGCGTTGTCTCGATACGTACAGTCGGAAACAATCTGGGTAACAGCCTCGTTCTATGCGGGTTCCGACATGAAGCTCTTCTCCGCACTACTGTGCCTCGTCTTTGCGCCTTTGACATTCGCACAAAGTCAGAGCGGAAACGATGTGCTCGCGTCTGCGGTCAAGAACCTGCCTCCATGCGCGGTATGTATACCAAATCAATATGCGAGACTCCATACTGATTTCGGTCATATAGTTGGATTGCACCCTCACAATAATCTCTTCATCAACATGTCAGCTCACAGACATCGACTGCATCAAGGGCAACGAGAAGCTTCTCGATGACTTGACCAAGTGTGTGAGGGCTAGCTGTAAGCCAAAAGAAGCACTGAGTAGGTCCTCTCTTACACTCAATCGTTGAACTATCTGCTAATTGCCCGTGCAGCGGCGAAGAAGTTTCTCGCGGAGTTGATGGATGCGCCCATCCGCAACAAGACGGAACAAGGAACGGTTACTACAATCGTTTTTGGAGTACTGTCTCTGGGAGCTTACATTCTACGCGTAATCGCACGACTTCCGTGGTTCGGCGGAAATTGGGGCATTGATGATTGGGTTATGACTGCGGCCATCATACTCATTATCCCACTCACGATATGCGCGTACCTTCTGAACCTTTTGGGGTTGGGTACGGATATGTGGATGGTGTCTTTCGAAAACATCACCAAGATTCTCGAGGTATGTGAAGACTTCTGCAAGTTCCAAGAGCCTGCACTAACGAATTTTTGATGATAGATCTTCTACTACACTGAGCTTCTCTACCTTGCGTCGATCGCATTGACCAAGATAGCAGTCTTGCTCTTCTACCTGCGCATCTTCCCTCACCAGGGCCTCCGACGCGTCATCCACGTTACTATCGTGATCTGCATCATGTACATCATCGCATTCGTCACAGCAACCGCGCTGCAATGCCTTCCGATACGCATTGCGTGGGAACACTGGGACGGCGAGCATCACGGAAAATGCATCAACCTCAATGCCGATGCCTGGGCTTCTGCCGCGGTCAACATCCTTCTCGATCTCGTCGTCATTGTTATACCTATGAGAGAACTCAGCAAGCTTGCCATGACCCGTCGACGCAAGTTTGGCATCATGTGCATGTTCCTCGGTGGAGGCTTGTAAGTTCATTTCCCACATCTCAATCTCGTATCTACTAACACCTCCTCAGCGTCACCATCGTCAGCATCCTCCGCCTCAAATACATGATCCAATTCGCCCAAACAACCAACGTAACTTGGGACTACCTACCCATCGGATACTGGTCCGCCATCGAAGCCCACGTCGGCGCCATCGTCGCCTGCGCACCCGCGATCCGCCAACTACAACGTTCCATCCGCGAACGCATCTGGCCCAAACAGAAGACACCAAGTCAACACTACTACGCCGAGAACTCTGGCAACAGCAGCAAGAAGAACAACGGCAGCAAAGACCTCAAGTCACGCATCTGGCTACCGAAAACCGATCGCTCTCAACTGAGCTCTCTGGGCCGGAGCAAGATGGACAAAGACGACTTCGTCCGCCTAGACGAGTACGAGATGGGCGTTGGCATGGGCGGAAAGGACAGCGTCCTCACAGATAGGAATTCGCCGGAAAACTCATCGGAAGGGTCGCTGGATCGGTCGTTCAAGTCGAATGAGGATGTGCAACCGTTGGCCGATGTTGCGGCGCCGGCGCCGGTGGTTGGCTCCCCAATGGGAGGTATTATGGTGCAGTCGGAGTACAAGGTTGATCGGGGGAGCTCGCATCCGAGTTTGCAGGCTTTACCACCGATTCAGCATAAGAAGGAGAAGTCGTTGGATGCGAGGAGGTGGCTTTGAAGCGCGATGGTGTAGCAACGCGACGCGCTACGATCTATGAACTTTGGCAGATACCCAATTATACATATTAATGCATTGAAGTACGACGTTCAACCCTCAATGTGTAGTAGCCCTCATACAATGTTCTCGCGCTTTGCGCACCCCTCAAAAGGCGCTCTACCAACACAGAAGCATCTTCAATCGGTCACCACACCACAGCTCACCGCCCGCAAACCCGCTGCACCTCCGAACCCCCATCTCCACCTATCGAAAAGTCACAAATACCATACTCCTGGCCAAGAACAATAGCCAAGCCCGCCAACCTCACAACAACAGCCAACGATTCAAGCACCAGCGCAGCGGCCTGACGCGTGCCGGCACGCCTCGCCCACTTGCCGCACCAACAACACCAGCCAGGGAAACAAGGCAGCTACGGCGGTTCTTGAATCGCGACATTGCGCCAGCGTAGGAAGTTAGGGTGGGGTGGGTCGCGAGACCCGCACCGGCTCGGTAGATCAGGCCCCACTGTGTGAGGCTAAGGGCGGTGCAGGGAGGAGCAGGGAGGGGGTTGGTGGCTCGGTGGAGGTTCGGGGATGGGCGTGGGCTTTTAGGAGTGCGACACTCTGCTGGGTAGTGCTGACAGTTCCAAATCATTGTTTGAAGATTTTGCTGTTGAAGCGTCGTTTTGGTCCGCCATCATAGCAGCTCTGGCAACTCTAATGCGTGGTTATCTTTCTTCTTGTGTTGCACATTCCAGAAGTGGAATGTAAGTAAAACAAAAGCACTGGTAGGTATTGCTATCGCAAAGAACAACCAGACGCTACGACTCGCTTCATCGAATGGGACATTCCCGGCGATGCCGTTGAAGAAGTTCATGCCAAAGAACGAAGACACGAAGGTGGCTGGGAGGAACGCCATGGTGACCCACGCGACTCCACTCATCAGGCGACTGTCTCTTTGCGTTGCTCTCGCAATGTTGAGGTTTTGTTCCAGAAGTTCCCATTCGCGTAGTTCAAGCTGCTCCTGTCTTTTCTGCTGCCTTTCTGCGATAGTATCCTCAATGATTTGGTGAACCTCCCCTATGACCACTCTTAGATTACGTGGATCGTACTGCTCCATCCCTCGAGCCAACAGTAGCAAGTCTCTCTTCGAAGCCGCGTATATTGTCGGCTCCAAGACAGTATCTCCCCACTTTGCAACGTCCATACTGAACACAAACTTTTCATTTAGGCTTGCAGCCCTAACCTCGCGGCCGATAGTATTAAGCTGGCGAAGCAATTTGCTTGGACGTCTTTCCAATTCCAGAGAGTCTTCTACACCTTGTATCGCTGTCATGAATGCCTTCAACTGCCCCCCAACCGTTTGTATGTACAGGCGCACAAGCGCATGAGCAACATGAGTGAAAGCGTAGATGGGTGCTTTCGCTATTTTTGGGTGCGTATCATCGGTGTATCTGTGCATCTTTATCCGCTGTTTGAACGTCTCAAAGCCATGTGCTCCCAACCCACTCTCTTTATCATAGGAGAGTACTGCCAGCCATCTTCCTTCGAGACCTCTAGCGTGAATTTTCTTGACCGAGAATTGTATGTAGGGCACAGAGTCTTTGGGTGTCTCGAGCAGAATACTATCGTCTTGCGAGACAAGGCGACCGGTAGTTGTGGTAGGAGGATGTCGCGGATCGTATGATTTGATTTTGTAAAGTATACTAGGGGTATTAAAGCTTATAGACTTCTAGACAAATTAAATTTATAAGAAAATAGGCTCTCTGCCTACCTATAGTAATAAATGCTTAGTAATAGTCTTAGACCTTTTAGCCTAGGCAAAGCTATAAATAAAAATTTTATTAAATAGCTTAAAGATACCTCTAATAAGTACTATAAAACTCTATAAGCTCTTTTAAGTATAAAAAATAACTAAAATTATAAAGTATAGTTATAGTAGTAAGAGAAAGGCCTTTAGATATACCTAAAAATCTTATTTAAAGCTTCTTCTCTACTTTTTACTTATACTAT